TACCTTTCCGCCTCCTAGCAATACTTCGATGTGGATACCTCGGACGTACTGGACCGTCTCAAGCGCTCGGTCCCGCTCTCCGACCAGATCTTCTTCGAGAACGACATGAAGTGAGTTTGACTGACAGCTGCTTACGGCTGACGCCTCTCCCAGGCCCGACCTCTACGGCCCCTTCTGGTTGTGCACAACCCTCATATTCACCATGGCGGTGAGCTCCGTCACTGCTCGCTCAGCCTTCCCGTGATGAGCCTCAGGCTGCTGGAAACTTGGGAGCGCTGCTGTCCTTCGTGCCGACCAAGGAGAATCGGGTCAAGCACCGAGTGAGGTCGTTGTGGTGGTTGACTTTCTTTGTTTCCTCCTTCAGTTCTTCACCTACAACTTCTCGAAACTCACCGTTGGAACTTCTGTGCTCTACGGATATACAGCGATTGTTCCAGTTGCAGTAAGATGCCCAGCCCACTCCTCTCCTCCTCCTACCCTCCTTCTCCTGCCTTACTCCTCCTCGTCCTTGTCCTACTCTCCTCCGCGTCCTCCTCCTCCTGCCCTCCTGCTCACCTGCTCTCCTGCTCTCCTCCTCGCTCATCTGTCGTGCAGGGCTGGGCGGCTTCCAAGTGGCTCATGTCTTCTCCCTTCGGACTCCTCGAGCTAGTCTGCATCTACGGATATTCTCTCACCATCTACATCCCCGCCGCGATCATCTGTGTGGTGGGCGCTCCTCCTCCCCTGCCCTGCCCTGCCCTGCCCTGCCCTGCCCTGCCCTGACCTGCCCTGACCTCCACTCCCCTCCCCTCCTCTCCCTGACGCTTCTTCCTCTCTCAGGCTCCGATCGAGTTCCTGCGCTGGATCACGATCCTCGCTGCCTTTGTTATCTCCCTCAAGTTCATCACCAGAAACGTGCGGGACGTCATCATCCGACAGGTACGCCTGAGCTGCCCCCCAGCAGCCGAGTGACGATGCGAGCAGGTGGACGAGAGCAAGGCCCTCATGATCCTGGTGGTTGTCGGGGCCCTGCATGCCGCGCTAGCGCTCTTCCTCAAGATCTACTTCTACAACTGATTCACAATGAAACAAGACAAACGAGATCGACTCTTTCTCCCTTCCTCTTATACACATACGGCAGTGCAAGTACGGAGACGTCGTTGCTTCACGTTTATTCGAATCGCTTTCTTCTCTCCTCCTCCTGACTTCTTCATCATCTCCATCTCTTCCAAGCTTTACCACATTCGTGATGTCGGGCCCATGGCTCATTGATAACCATGGCCCATTGATAAGCTCAACTTTCGACTCATATCTTGACCTCCTTTCCTCCTGTCCTCTTCACATCTCCTGTCCTGTCCTCTCCTCTCCTCTCCTCTGATCTGATCTCATCACGTCTCCTCTCCTCCCCTCTCCTCTCCTGTCCTCTCCTCTGATCTGATCTGATCTGATCTGATCTGATCTGATCTGATCTGATCTGATCTGATCTGATCTGATCTGATCTGATCTGATCTGACCTGACCTGATCTGATCTCATCTAATCTGATCTGATCTGATCTGATCTGATCTGATCTGATCTGACCTGACCTGACCTGATCTGATCTCATCTAATCTCACCTCATCTTATCTCTCCTCCTCCTCGCTGCACCTCCTCTAAGGGCAGGTTACTATCGGAGCCCTCCGGCTGCTTTCCTTTGACCACCCCTCTCCCCCTCTCTCTTTTCTCCTTATAACTACCCCTCCTCTAGCCCACTCCGGTGGTCCCCTACGTCTCGTCCGCCCACCCTGCTGCCGCCCCCTTCCCTCCTCTCACGCCAACGCGCTCCTGTGCTGTGCTGTGCTGTGCTGTGCTGTGCTGTGCTGTGCTGTGCTGTGCTGTGCTGTGCTGTGCTGTCCTCTGTCCTGCTTCTCGTCTACCCTACTCCCTTTCTACTCATCCCTCGTTTCTCTTCCTCTCCTTCAGCTCCCTTCACATGCACTTGACTGCTCGGCTGAGCTTTCACTGTCCTGTCGTTCTTCCTTCTTGTATACTCCAACTTGGTGCACATTCCCTCGCTCTCTGCTGACTCCTGCATCTTCTCCTCAAACCCCGCGATGCTGCAGCTCTTGTTCTCTTCCCTCACTGAACTTGTTTGATCTTCACTCCTCCTTGTCAAAACTGCTTGTGCTCGCTCGTCTCTTCACACGCCTGTGCTTCCTCTTACTCCTGAAAGATCGACATGGTTCTCGCACGAACTCCTCGCTCCTCCCTGCCCTCTCGCCCCAAGCCTTCGGCCTCCAGCTTCTCCGAGGACGCGAGCATCTGCGTGGTAGGCCGTCCTCTCTCCTCTCGCCGCTTCTCCTCCCCTCATCAAGCGCATCCCCGCAAACCCCAGCAGCACCTCAAGCTCGTGGGCACCACCAGACTCGTCAACTTCCTCGGCGTGGACGGCCATGCGCTTTTTACTTCCTCCGCTCGACCGGCGACTGTGAGAGAGAGGACGCGGTCGGAGGGAGAGAGGACGCGGTCGGAGGGAGAGAGGACGCGGTCGGAGGGGGAGAGGACGCGGTCGGAGGGGGAGAGGACGCGGTCGGAGGGGGAGAGGACGCGGTCGGAGGGGGAGAGGACGCGGTCGGAGGGGGAGAGGACGCGGTCGGAGCGGTCGGGCTGCCTGCTGTTTGACTTCCGCACGGTCAAGAAGAAGTCGGAGGAGGACGCGCGACCCAAGACGGCGAGAGCAGTAGTCGTGGACCAGAGCTTGTCCTTCCGACCACTCTCAGCTCGTGCAGGAGGAGGAGGAGGAGGAGGAGGAGAAGTGCGGTCGAGTTGGCATGCAGCTGGAGGAGACCAGCAGCAAGGAGCACGAGACTTGCTGTCGAAGCAGACGAGACCCGAGTGAGTGTCACGTGCTGCCTGTAAGGAGCTCACAAGCCCTCGCAGGTGGCGCAGGCAGTTCCTTGAAGCTCCTTTCCCGCAGCGAACACTGAGAAAGAGCAGGTGAAGGACGGGAGAGGCAGCGGGTGAAGGAGGGGAGAGGCAGCGGTGAAGGAGGGGAGAGGCAGCGGGTGAAGGAGGGGAGAGGCAGCGGGTGAAGGAGGGGAGAGGCAGCGGGTGAAGGAGGGGAGAGGCAGCGGGTGAAGGACGGGAGAGGCAGCGGGTGAAGGAGGGGAGAGGCAGCGGGTGAAGGAGGGGAGAGGCAGCGGGTGAAGGAGGGGAGAGGCAGCGGGTGAAGGAGGGGAGAGGCAGCGGGTGGATTGAGATAGGGTCGCAGGTTTCAGGAGGTCGACCGATCGCTTGAGAGGGAGTTTGTCCTCCATAATTGCGTGCTCGTCAGCCACGTCGAGCCTACGCCGGTAGTGTCGCTACTTGACGTGCATGCGCTGACGGCTAGTCAGAATGTGATGCAGCAGGAGCTAAAGGATCGGAGGAAGCTGAAGCAGGTGAAGGAGCAATGATGAGGTTGGAGCTGCTGACGGAGCTGCAGCGATCGCGGGGGGAGGAGGAAAGAGCAGCAGTGAGTTGCTGTGTTCTCTACCTCTTTAGTTTGTCTCCCGGTCTTGACTTGACGCAGAAAACTTCGTGCGCATCCTCGACGTCCCTCTAGAGATTCCGAGGAGAACGGAGGAGGCGGGGGAGGAGAGGGAGGAGAAGAGGAGAAGCTCGGGGGAAGCGATCGAGTCGTGGGGTGTTTCTGATAGCTTCAGCTCTGTACAGACGTAGAAAGACAATGAAGAAAAAGTGTATCGTGCGATGATGCCAGGAAGGAAGATGCAGTGAGTGAGTGAGTGAGTGAGTGAGTGAGTGAGTGAGTGAGTGAGTGAGTGAGTGAGTGAGTGAGTGAGTGAGTGAGTGAGTGAGTGAGGGAGGGAGGGAGGGAGGGAGGGAGGGAAGGAGGGAGGGAAGGAAGAGGATTCGAGCAGCCGACAAGGAAGGAGGTGAAAGTTTCGCATCGCTGATACGACGAGATTTCAGAGGTCACAAGGTAGTCGACGAGCTCTCAAGGAGAAGCTGCTGGTTCTCTCGGTTGTCCTTGCGCGAACCATGCTTCATCTGTTGTGCGCTCAGTTGGGGGCAGGAGGAGGACGAGGGGAAAGACGGAGAGGGGGAAGGGGAGGGGGGGAGAGAGGAAAGCGATACGGGGCGGGGAAGGCGGGGCTGGGCGGGAAGGAGGTAGAGCAGGAGGCGAGGAGGAGCAGGTCTGTTGGGCTCACTTGATATCTGTCGAGGAAATCTTGAACTCGCTTCCTCGACTCACTCCAAGAGACTTCAGGCCCTGGCCGACCCGTCAGCTCTCTCACTCGTCAGAGCAGAGGAGCAGGCGAACCTGTCTTCTTCCGTGCTACCTCCACCCTCGCCGCCTCCAGGATCTTGCGTCTCAGCTCCTCGTTGGTACTCCTCCTCTCACCCTCCCCTCCCTCTGCTCCTCCTGCTCGCGATGGGACGAGCATGACCTGGTTCTTCTGCCACTGCGTCACCTTCTTCTGCCTGCATGGAGGCGTCAGGTGAGAAGGGGAGGGGAGAAGAGACCAGGAGGCGCCAGTCTTCTCCTCCTTGGAGACACCTGACCGTCTGTGTGGCAAGTCACGAGAGGAGGAGAAGGAGGAGAACAAGAGGGGGGATGGGCGGGCAGGAGGAGACAAGACGAGGAGGGAGGAGGAGGAGGAGGAAGGAGGAGGAAGGAGGAGGAATGAGGGAGGAGGAAGGAGGGAGGAGGGAGGAGAGTCATCACCGCTCGAACAAGGTCGGGAGTTCGGTCTGGACGATGTCGAGGAGGTTGAGGGCGTCTGAAATCTCCCGCACGTTCTCTTGCAGCAGCGACGTCATCGTCCGCATGCTCGCCCGCCCTCGCTCGATCTCCTTCCTCTGCGGATCGTCAGAGGTCACGTGGCTCCTCGCTCCTCCTCTACCAGGCTGTTGATCTCGAGCTGCAACCCGTTCGCCATCCCCAGCTGCACTTCCAGCTCCTCTCTCAGCTCGAGGTTGTGACCACGCAGGTGAAAGATCTCCTTCTCCGTGGCGTGACACATTCCCCGCTTCAGCTTCACCACGAAACTCTGCCCCTCCTCTCGCTCCTCCTCCTCCTCCTCCTCCTCCTCCTCCTCCTCCTCCTGCCCCCCCTGCTGGGGGCGTCGCAGGAACTTGAGCTCCACCTTGGACCCTCGCTCACCCAGCACGAGCTTGCTCACCTCCTCCAGCGCCATCCTCGATGTGGGCACGTGATGGCGACCGGAGCCCGTGGGGTCGATGGAGAGGAGGAGGTCGCCGATGTTGATCCTGCCGTCAAGGAGGGCGGGGCTGTCAGGGATGAAGCCTTCCACTCTTGGATGCGAGTCCTGCGGCTCGTACACCATGCTCAACCCAACCCCGACAGGAGGAGGAGCAGGCAGACTGTCCTCGTCGCCTTCAGCGGTGTTGGGCTGCATGGCGGCGTCGAGGGAGAGGTAGTGCTCGGCGTCGCTGATGTGAGAGAGGGTCGAGGTCAGGACGCGCTGCGACTCCTCGAGCTTCTTGTACTTGTCTTCCAGCACTCGCGTGTACACGTCCTTGAGTTCCCGTCAGCGCCGTCAGATGGTCAGTGGACTTCACCTGCCGCTGAAGCTTCTGCTTCACCTTGAGGTACCTCTGCTTGAAGGAGAGAGCCTGTGATGATACGGCCTTGTTCGATGCTTCCACCTGAGTGCGGTGAGAAGGAAGCGAGCGGACAGGGCAGGAGTACGTATGCCCGAAGATCAGCCTCGAGCTCCGACGTGTCTGCTTGCACCTCCTCCACTCGTTTACTCCACTGACTCATAGCGGAGAACATCTCGTTCTACATCAACATCAGTCAGAGCAAAGGAGGAGGAGGAGGAGAAGGAGGAGGAGGAGGAGGAGAAGAAGGAGAAGCAGGAGAAGCAGAAGGAGGAGAAGCAGGAGAAGGAGGAGGAGGAGGAGAAGGAGGAGGAGGAGGAGGAGGAGGAGGAGGAGGAGGAGATACCTTGAAGCTGTGGAAGAGGAGGAAGAAGAGGGTCTCTAGCTCAGAGAAGCGGAGGGAAGGGAAGCAGGAGAGGAAGACCGCGTCAAACCTGAGCTCCTCTAGAGGCTCCAACAAGATTCTCTCAAGCTCGCTCCTCAGCCCCGAGAAGATGGCTGTTTCAGAACTTGCTTCGTCCCTCTCCTGCTCAGCCTCCTCCCTCCTCCTATCTGCCTCTTCTTTCACCGCCTCCAAGAGCTGGAGAGCTTTCAGAGCCTCGTCTCGTGCCTTGAAAGCTTCCTCCTTGAGCTTCTCCAACATCTCCATGCGTTCCTCTGCTACTTGTTTTGCCTGCTCTGCACGCCTCCTGCCTTCCTCCTCTTCCTCTCGTCTGTTCTCTGCTGCTTCAGCCGCCTCCTCTGCTGCTCTGATGTCACCGTCTCTTCTCTCCATCCCCTCCTGAGCCTCAATCAACTTAAGCTCGAGCTCGGCTGCCCTGCCCTCGGCCTCTGCCTTGTCTCGCTGGACAGCCTCGAGCCTCTCCTCGAGCCTCCTCCTCTCCTCCTCTCTCTCTGTCTGCGTCCTCCTCGCCGCCTCCCTCGCCGCCTCTGCCTCCCTCTCTGCCTCGTGCAGCCCGACCAGCTCCTCGTCCTGGCTTCGCTTCAGCGCTACCAGCGACGCGTACGCCTCCTCCGCCTGCCTCCTGCCTTCCTCCGCCTGCCTGCGCTGCTGCTCGAGCGTCTCGAGGGTCTGCTCGGCCTGCCGCCTGGCCTCCTCCTCCCGGTTTGCTGTCTCAATTGCCTTCAGTTTTTCGTTTTCGAGCTCGGTCATGAGCTGCTGCAGCTTTTTGATGGATTCGGCCTCTGTTTTGTGTATTTGCTGCTGCTCGTTCCACAAGGATTGAGTCTGGTAGAGCCTTTCTTCCACCTCCTTCTTCTCCTCGTTTGCGTTGTTTGCTTTTTTTCTCTCCTCGTTGATTTCATCTCTCAGCTGTCGGACTTCTTCTTGTTTTGTCGTATGCTTTCTTGCAGCTCGTTTACTTGTCGTCTAGTCGCCATGACTTCTTCGCTGTTCTCTCTTGCTCGTTCGTTCGCTTCTTCTGCCAACTTCGCCATCCTCTCCTTCTCCTCTCTCTCCTTCTCTTGCTCGTTCTCAGCTCCCATCAGCATCTTCTGCTGCTCTTCCAGCTGTGCCTTCAGCTCGGTGTTCTGCTCCTGCAAACGCGCGACGTCGTAGAAAGTTTAGCCTCCACCTGCTTGTGCCGCTCCTGCAGCAGCCCGTACCCGCGATGCGCCTCCTCCTCGAACAGCTGGAGGCCAGCAAGACTTTCTTCGCACCGACGAGCCAGCGCGTCTCTCTCCGCTGCCAACTTCTTCCTCGCCGCCTCTGCCTCCTCAACCTGCCGCGACTGCTGCATCGACAGGGCACGACAGGCGTCACACAAACTTTCAGCCTCCGTCAGCTGAGCTTCAAGTTGAGCAGTAAGAGCCTCCACCTCCCCCCCCATGAGCTCTGCAGCCTTGAGCCTTCCCTCCAGCATCCTCCTCTTCTTCTCCCCTTCCTGTCCGATCTTCCTGCACGTTTCTCTTGCTTCCCCCGCATCCTTCTCTGCCTCATGAATCAATCGCTCAAGGGCCTTCTTGCTGCCCTCAACAGCCTCGAGCCTCTCCTCGAGCCTCCTCCTCTCCTCCTCTCTCTCTGTCTGCGTCCTCCTCGCCGCCTCCCTCGCCGCCTCTGCCTCCCTCTCTGCCTCGTGCAGCCCGACCAGCTCCTCGTCCTGGCTTCGCTTCAGCGCTACCAGCGACGCGTACGCCTCCTCCGCCCGCCTCCTGCCTTCCTCCGCCTGCCTGCGCTGCTGCTCGAGCGTCTCGAGGGTCTGCTCGGCCTGCCGCCTGGCCTCCTCCTCCCGCGCAGCCTGGTCCTCGGCGAGCTGCCTTGCATCGAGAGCGCTGCGAGCCTGGAGCTCGAGCTCGGCTGCCCTGCCCTCGGCCTCTGCCTTGTCTCGCTGGACAGCCTCGAGCCTCTCCTCGAGCCTCTCCTCGAGCCTCCTCCTCTCCTCCTCTCTCTCTGTCTGCGTCCTCCTCGCCGCCTCCCTCGCCGCCTCTGCCTCCCTCTCTGCCTCGTGCAGCCCGACCAGCTCCTCGTCCTGGCTTCGCTTCAGCGCTACCAGCGACGCGTACGCCTCCTCCGCCCGCCTCCTGCCTTCCTCCGCCTGCCTGCGCTGCTGCTCGAGCGTCTCGAGGGTCTGCTCGGCCTGCCGCCTGGCCTCCTCCTCCCGCGCGGCCTGGTCCTCGGCGAGCTGCCTTGCATCGAGAGCGCTGCGAGCCTGGAGCTCGAGCTCGGCTGCCCTGCCCTCGGCCTCTGCCTTGTCTCGCTGGACAGCCTCGAGCCTCTCCTCGAGCATCGCCCTCGTTTGCTTCTTAGGGTCCATGTTAAGTTTACCTTCCTGTTCCTGTGTATTGGCCTTTTGTAGTTGCTCCTGCGTTGTGACAAATTCATGGTAACTCGTGTCTTTCCCATCTTGTGGTGTTTGCTGTCCATTGATCGTTTCTTCCTCTTGCTCTTCTTGATCTGATGATGGTTGTCTGTTGAGTCTGTGAACCTGAACACCTTTCCATTCATGATTTGATTTTTCTTCTCGCCCTTCTTCTTCTTTTACTTGTTTTTCGACTTCATCATTGTCTTTCCCTTTCCATTCTTGCACTTTCAGTTCTTTTTTCGCCTCTTCCGCATTCTCTCCTTCCTCCACTCGCTCCAACTCTTTCTGCACTACGAACTCCTCCTCGTCCTCCTCCTTCTCCTCCTCCTTCTCCTTGACCTCCAGTTCCTCGTCCTCGTCCTCGTCCTCGTCCTCGTCCTTTGGAGGTAAAGGAAAGCAAGGAGGCCCCATCTCTCCTTTCTGCTCGTTTGAAACATATGAAACCTCACTCAAAATTCCCGCCCCAAATTCGAAATTCCGCCGTCCATTTTCAAACATCCTCCAGCCCCCATCCTTGTTCTGCTGGATCAGAACCCTCGGCTGAGCTGAGGGTGAGCTGGGGAGCTGAGAAATCCCTTCGAACGTCACGTTGGGCACCAGCGACTCGATCGTCGCCCCCTGTCGCAGCATCAGCGAGTTTCTCAGCTGCCTCCTCTGCGCCTCCAGCACGTCAAGCTGCTCCCTTAGCCGCTCGTTGGTGCTCTGAAGCTCCTGCAGCTCCTGCCCGCGGCTCTGGAGGAGGAGGAGGAGGGAGTTGATACTCAAGTCCTTCTCCTGCAGCAGTCCCAGCAGCTGCTTCTGCCCCGAGATCAACGTTCCATTGGCCTCTTTCAGCCTTGCGTTCTCGACTTCTCTCTTCCTTCCTTCCCCCTCCTCCCCCTCCTCCTCCTCCTTCACTTCATTTCCCCCTCCTCCTTCTCGCACATACTCGTGCTTGTCCTCCTCCTCCGATTCCTTCTTGCCCTCCGCTCCTTCGCTCTCCTCCTCCTCCTCCTCCTTCGCTGCTGCCTCCGCACTCTCGCACTCAGTCTCACCCTCCTGCCCAGGAGCAGAGACTTTAGCTCGACTGTTGCAGGCCTTGAAAACCGTTGAGTCCACGGTCTCGTCTGAGGCTGACACGTACGTCGCGTCCTCGCTCCTCCTCCTTCCCGCCCATGGGTCGAGAACGTTTGCCCGCAAGTCTGTTCCCTCCTCTACTGCCGTCTCCCGCTCCTCCTCCTGTACTGCCGTCTCTCGCTCCTCCTCTACTGCCGTCTCTCGCTCCTCCCTCTCCTGCTCCAGCAGACTCTCTTCTGACTTGCTTCCTGACGAGAAGTCAAGGGCATCATGGAAGATTTCTAGTTCCTCCTCCTTGCTCAGCCTTCCCCTTGTCCCTCCTGTCCCCGAATTGTTCTCACCTGCTTCACCGTCCTCCTCCTCCTCCTCCTCCTCCTTCTCCTCCTCCTCCTCCTCCTCCTCCTCCTTCTCCTCCTCCTCCCGGTCCTCCCTCTTCGTCCTCCTTCTCTACAACTCCCACCGGTAACCCCGGCAACGAAGCTGCCTCCTCAACTTGTTCCTCCTCGTTCTTGGAGACGATCTCTTGACCTGACCCCTCCCCATTGAACGCCTCCTCCTCTCTCCCAACGTCCTCCTTGTCCTGTCTGAACTTGCTCCTCCTCGCATCCTCCTGCGCTCGAGCTGCTGCAGTCTCCCTCCTCTCCCTCGTCGTCTTCAGCTCCTCTAGCAGCGTGTGCATCCTCTCAGCTGCCTCCTCGACCTCTCGAGCACTCACCAACCCCTGCTGGTGCTGCTGGGAGAGGAGGAGGAGGTCTTCCACCATCTTCTTCTCCAGCCCCTGCGTCCTCACCATTATAGAGATCTTCCTCCGCTCGCTCTCCCTCCTCCTCGTCGCCTCTTGTGCTCTCAGCCTCCTCAGCGACTTGTTGGACTCTGACAGTTTGTCCGCCAGCTGCGCGTTGGCAGCGGCGAGTTCCTCCCTCTCCTCTTCAGCTGCACTCTTCACAAGCTTCAGCTCCTTCACAAGCTTCTCCTCCGCCCTCCGAGCTGCCCCGAGCTCATGCCGGCAAGAAGACAAGTCGGATGACAGAGTCTCGTTCATCTCCTCCATCTCCCGCAGCCTCTCCTCCAGCTCGCCCACGACCTTCTTGCGGCTCTCGAGCTCGCTCTTCTTCCACCTTCTCTCCCTCTCGCTCATCGCCTCCTTCTCCATCCTCGCGCCAGCCTCCACCAGCTCCTTGTTCTCCTCCTCCAGCTGAGAGCAGAGGCTCTGCTGGGCCTCCAGCTCGGACTTTTTCTTCTGGAGCTCGACCTGCAGCTGTCGGATAGACTGCCTCCCGCGCGCCAGCTCATCCTCGGCCCTCCTCCTCTCCTCCTCCCCCGCCTTGCTGGCCTCCAGCAGGAATCTGAGCAGCTCGTCAATGGCTCCGGTGGTCTCGTAGCAGCGGAACAGCAGGAACTGCATGTCGATCGACTTTGAGAGGAACTCCGAGCCTTCCATCCTCCTCCTGCAGACTTCCAGCTGAAGGTCCTTCAGCCACCTCTCCCTGTCCTCCGACGAGCGCTGGCTGACCTCTCGCTCCATCCGAAGTTTCGCCTCCTCCTCCTTCATCCTCTCCACCAGCACCCGCAGGGCCTCTACCTCCTGCCTCTCCCTCTCCACCTCTCCAATCATCCTCTCCATGCTCGAGCGGTAGGACACGTTCGCTACTGCCAGGCTCTGCATCTCCTCCCTCTCCCTCCTCCTCTCCTGCTCCAGAAGCGCTATCCTCTCCCTCAGCCTCTCCTCCTCCCTCGCCCTCTCCGCTTGCTCCTTCACCGACCGAGCAGCAGCTTCCCTATCCTCCTGCCTTCGGCTGCTCATTTCCTCCTCCTCTTCAACTTCTCTGTTCTTCATCGCCGCCATCGTCTCGTTCAATTCCCCCACGACCTCCTTCATCGCCCTTACCAGCTCCTCCACCTCTTCCCTCACCTCCTCCACCTGTCTCCACTTCCAGCTTGACCGCAAACTCTCCAGCTCCAGAATCTCCCGCTGCCTTCCCTTCTCCTTCTCCATCCTCTCCAGCTTCCCTTGCAGCTGCTGCAACTTCATCGTCGCCTCCTCCGCACACACCTTCGCCTCCATCCTCGCAATGTCCGCCATCCTCGCCCTCCTCTCTGCCTCGAGCGCCTCCTGCCGCAGCATCGCCGCCTGCTTCAGCGCATCCCCTCCCTCCTTGTGCGCCTCCTCCGCGTCCCTCTGAGCAGCGGCAAGGAGCTCCCGCAGCTCCCTGTCCACGTTGAAGGACATCTCGTCGAAGGAGAGAGCAGCAGGAACGGCAGGAGGAGGAGGAAGAGAAGGAGGAGGAGGAGCATCCAGGAACTTGAGCCTCTCACGGTGTTGATTGAGTTCTCTTTGCAGTTCGATGAGGTTTCTAGAAAGCTCCTCAATGTTGTCTGTGTAGAACTTCGTCTGCACAGGAGAATTCAGCTCCTCCTCTCCTCTCCTCCTCCTCCTCTTCCCTCTCCTACCTCCTCTCGCTTCCTTCCTTCCCTCCTCCTCCCCCTCTACCTCACCTGTTCTGTACAGACTTGCTTCTCTATGGAGAGCTCACGCTGAAGGCTCTTGTTCTCCTCAGACAGGACACGAATCGTCTCCTCCAGCTCTCGCAGCTGAACCTGGTAACTCTTCTCAAGATACCTTCTATTCTTCTTCTCCTCCTGCAGGGAGCGGCCAGTCTCACTCAACTCCTCCGCCATCCTCCCCCTTTCCTCTCTTCTTCTCTTGTTCTCTGCGAGTAGATTGTCTAGCAGGAGAGAAATTTCTTTCCCCGCTGCCTCAAGGCCTGCAGCTTGTTCTTGTGCAAGGGTCAACTGAGAGGTGAAAGCTTGCAGCTCCTCCACCTCCTTGTTGTCCTCCGACTGTGGCAGCTCCTCCTCCTCCTCCTCCTCCTCCTCCTCCTCCTCCTCCTCCTCCTCCTCCTCCTTCTCCTTCCTCTCCTGTTCTTGTCGGTCCCTTTCAAGCTCCATGCTTGTTTTCAGTTGGTTCACGTTCTGCTGTGCGATCTCAACTTCCGTTTGCATCTCCTTCAACTCACATCGTAACTTCTCCACATCGACAGCCTGCGTGCGTGTCCGATTGTTCAACCCGCCTCTTCCTCCCCCCGTCTCTCCGCCCTCCTCCTCCCCCTCCTCCCCCTCCTCCTCCTCGTTGCTCGCTCCATTCATGATCGGTTCATCGCCACCTTCCTCCTCATCTCTCGAGCTCGTCAAGCTTGCGAACTCGTCGGCATCTGATGCCTCCTCGACATCCTTGACACGTTTCAGTTCCTCCTCCTGCTTCACCCGCAGGCCTGACATGAGGCCCATGGTTTCATCCAGAACCCCCGCGGCAGCTGACAAGACATTCTTCACCTCTATGACAACCTGCTCTTTTCGAGCATCGACCTCCCGCTGTCTTGACATGCTGTCTCCACATCCTCCCTTGCCCTCCGCCCCTCCCTCCTCCTTCCGCAAGCTCACACCCTTCCTCTCAAGTTTCACCCACGAGTGCATAACCGACACTTGCTGCGACTCGTCCGACATGGAGGTCACCTGCGGCGTTTGCGGGTCAAACAGCACGAGCTGAGAGCTATTCTCGTCCTCACCCTTGTCGCAATATCATCTCCCATACACATGACGTCCTCGACAGTCTCCCCAATCTTCGTGTTCAATCTCACCTGCATTCACTCAGTCATTGATAGATTCAACTTTTTCTCCCTCATTCTCGCACCCACTCCTCCCTACCTCCCTCTCCCCCCTCTTCCACCCTCTCCCATCCACTGTCTTCTCTCCCTTGGTCACCCTTCCCCCTCCTCCCTTTCTCTTTCACTCTGCCTGTCAACTACCTTGAGCAGAAGCTGATTCGCCGTAATCCGCTCAATCTCTACATCTTGATCATCATTACGATAAATTCTCTTCACTTCCTCCTGCCAGGAATTTTGCAGCTCCTCCTGCTGCTCCTTCAGTCAAGTTGATAACAGCTCAGTCCCTCTCACATCAGCTCTGCTCATTCTGACATGAACGTGCGCCGTAACAACACAGGCCTCCTTCTTCTCTCTGTTCCTCTCCCTACTCGCCGTCGGTGTCTGTCAGCCCCGTCAGTCGCTTCGCTCCATCCTCACTCTCTCTCACTCTTTGAGCGTTCCTGCTCGCCAGCAGGAGCTTGTTGAAGGTCTGCACCTTGCTCTCAACCTCATCCTGTATGTGCTGCAACCTCTGCTTCCTCTCCCTCTCCCTGCCGTTCCTGCTCAGAAACCTTCAGCCTGGTTCCAGCTGCTCCTCTGACGTGGCTGACCAGACTTCCAGCAGCTTCTCGAGCTTGTTCGAGAGGTCGGCGATCTCCTTGAGGTAAGCGACGCGGTTGTCGCTCATGATCTGCCCGGGTGATGTTGAGCGAAAGGAAAAGGAGAGAGGAAGAAGGGAGGGGACGAGAGAAGGAGGGGAGGGGACGAGAGAAGGAGGGGAGGGGAAGAGAGAAGGAGGAGGAGCGGGTAGGGTGGGACAGGATGGCATGTGGTAGAGGAGGAGGAGGAAGAGGAAACACCTTCCTCCTCATGGTCGACAGCGTCTGGAAGCACTCGCTCATGCTGAAGTTGCCCGCCGGTGCCCTGGACGCTGTGGAGCATCGCACTCGACGCTCAGTCCCTTCAGAGCTCTCTACAGTGATGTCAACATGCCCCTGTTCCACCTGCCACTGTCGATTCGCCGCCCATTCCAAGATTTCCTTCATGGTCTTCGACTCTCCATCTATCTCCACTATCACCTCCCCTCTTCGCAGCCCCGCAACGTCCGCAGGTCCTCCAGGTCTGCCACAGGAGCGTTACAACCAGCAGCAGCGACGAGCTCTCTGCTCCCGACATGATGTGCGTGATCTTGGAGTCCTGTACGATGATCCCCAGCCCCCCGAACACCTCCTCCTCCTCCTGGCGGCACGCGTCAGCACAGGGGACGGCCTTCCTCCTCATGAGACTGGCTCCTCCTCTCACCGCGCATCCCTCGATGCCCCTCGTGACCTCCTCCACCAGCTCCCGCAGCGCCTCCTCCAGCTCCTCTGCCGCCATGGCGCCGGCGGAACCAAAAAAACAAGTCAAGTGTCATCAAAAAGAAAATCTCCCCTGCCTTTTACACTCACAGCTTTCTCACCCCTCTCCTCTCTCCCTCCTCCCTCCCTCGCTC